CAGTTCGTTTGGTTTTTGTAACTGATTCATTAAGGACATTCTTAAATAACTCCCCCTTGCCTCCCTATGAAAAATAGCTTGGTTGGTTGTGTGCCATCAGGTAGGTTTCAATTCATATAGGCCCCTCATAGGTTTTCCAAGGCTGTAAATCTTTGCCGGAGCAGAAAGCTGCATCTTTCTCTGTGGCGTGACTGTTGGATTCAAACTGCTGACCTTGAAGTTAGCAGCCCAGTGGCAATCCACTATGCTACCAAGTCTCGTTAGGAAAAACAGAGCAACTACTAATATAATGTGGTTCCTCTGTCCTGATTGGTGCTAAGGTGCTGACAAGTTTACTCATCATTGCATTTGCATCATCAGTGCAAAAGTCAGGTCAGAGAAAAAGCCAAATAACATCTTAGCATTGTCATGAAAATAGTTTTGACCACCTGGACCCCTCTGCAGCTCACACTTGAAGGAATGCTATTCTTGAAGAAGTGTTTCTACTTGTGTGCTCACTATTAGAAATACTTGGGGTAGGCTTGAATTCACTCCTGTGGGGAGTCGATATTTTTGAAGTTTTTTCTTAGAATGAACACTATTGAGAAAATACATATTTAATCTCACACCTGAGTAGTGATGAAGAAGGGGGCAGAAGGAATACTATAATTATAAAACAAAATATGCTCTTAAGCAGGGCTTTGAACCAATTCATTCTGGTTCAATCTCCTGATGAGAATTTGCATTACCACCCCAAACATACTGAATCAGAAACTACATTTTAACAAGCTCCTCCAGTAATTCTTATATACAAGTACAAATTGCCAGAATTCTTATAAGAACTGTCAAATTCTTATATATACATAAGAATTTCTTGTTAAAATGTAGATTCTGAACCAGTACATCTGGGATAGAAATGCAAATTCTCATTAGGGGATTGAACCAGAATAAACTTGTTCAAAGCCCTGCTTTTTATAAAAAGTTGGTCCATGGGGGTGAATCAAACAGAAAATTCCAATCTGATGACCACGATCAATAATAATCCAAACTAAGAGTTCCTGTGTATATATATATGCAATATGCTTATGTTCCTGAAACTATTCATTTGATTTTGAAATCCACTGTAGCAATTAATTTCCAGCTATTTCTCTTCTAATAGTTCGGAACTGCCTTGACAGTACTAACAACAACAACATAATTAATTTGTGTTTCCTGAGGATTCAGCAGTTGTGGGTGAAAGAAAGTGCCCTTGTGTGTGCCTTGTAATAGAGATAAGCAACCTGAGACTTAAACAGAAATTAGTTTGTCCTTATTTTCATTTTTTATTACTGTATACTATTTCAAATAATTTTTAGAAAAAGGTGGAGGCATACATAAATTCATTAAAATAATGTTCTTTGCTGTTGATAAATTACATATAAAAATAAAAATTGATAGCATTTGTCAGTATGCTCTTAAAAGGTACCAGGAAATGTATTCTGCTTCGAAGAAAGGCCTAAAATATGTTTTCAATTGTAGTAGGCCCAGTGGTTAAGTGTTTGGCTGCTAATGGTAAAGGTTGGCAATTTGAACCCAGCAGCAGCTCCTAGGAAGAAAGATCATGGCAGTCTGTTCCATGAAGATTATACCATGGAAAACTTATGAAGCAGCTTTACTCTCTTGCACAGCGTCACTATAAATCAGAATCAACTCGATAGCAATTTTTAAAATAGCATTGTAAAGACTCATTATCAGTTCAGGAAAATGTGGTGGTATTATGTCTATGTTGTTGTTGTTAAGTGCCTTTGATTCAATTCCGACCTATAGTGACCCTGTATAGGGTTTCCAAGGAGCAGCTGGTGAGCTTGAACCACCGACCTTGCAGTTCAAACGACTTTGCGGTTTGATATATTAGTCCACAATGCCACACCTATAGAGAGGAATAATCCTCAATATTTTGGGCAAAGAATTTGAGGATGTAATATTAGAGTGCTCTGACCATTCTGTTTACCATGTGTCATAGTGGATTTAGAGCTGAGCTGTTAACTGCAAGGTCAGCAGTTCTAATCTACCAGCTGTTCTGCAGGAGAAAGATGAGGTGTTCTGCTCCTGTAAAGATTTACAGCCTCAGAAACCCTATGCTCGGTTGCTATGAGTTGGAACTGACTCCATGGCACATCCATCACCACCAATGGAGTGTGTGGCATGGTGGCATAATGCACTGGACCACAAGGTTCATTTGAACCACAAAGTTGATGTTTTAAATTCACCAGCCACTCCTGGGGACCCTATATAGGGTCATTATGAGTCAGAACTGACTCCACGGCACTTAACAACAATAACATTGGAGTTCTGGTATGTCGTTATAGGATAAGCACTAGACTGTATGGTTGATTTGAACAGCAAGATTGGCGGTTCAAACTCACCAAACACTCCTCGGAAACCAGTTACAGGGTTGCTATGAGTTGGAACTGACAGGTAGATGCCTTAGGAGATAAGCCTGGTGATTATGCTTCCAAAGGGTCACAGTCTTGAAAACCCTATAAAGTAGTTCTTTGCACACACAAGGTCTTCACTAGTTAAAATGGGTGTAATGGCAACTACAACAACATTAATTTGAAGTTCAAAGCTATCGAGAATATTCTAAGGCATGCTATTTTGAGTTTGATCTGATGTGAAAGATAGTCTTATTTCAAATTATAGTTAGGGAGAACTTAACTACCAATTTTCTTAAACCCACATTCAAAGAAAAATTGAGGTAGGCTTCATTTTAAACTTCTCTACTTCCTACTTGAAGGAGCTCTGGTTGCGTAGCGTTTATGAATTGGGCTCCAAACCTCAGGATCAGCAGTTGGGAAATATCAGCTGTTCCACGGGAGAGAAATGAGGCTTTCTGCTCCTGTAAAGATTTACAGCCTCAGAAACCCTGTACAGGGTTGCTATGAGTCGGAACCGACTCCACGGAACATAACAACAACAACTACACTCTCCACTTGGGTTTTGATTAGATCCAAGCAGGTGTTTCAAAACGTGCTTCAGACAACATTACATGTAAATTGACAGGGAGGGGATTATGCTGAGATTTCATTATCAATGAAAAGCATCTTTTGGGAGATACAGCACACTTTAAGCATCTAATAAAAATGTCTGATATAAAGTCTTATTGTTATTTTTAAAGGTGTGTATTGGGACTTACCCCCATGGCTCTCATTAACACACCACTAGAGCTTTGAGAATTAAGTCAGAACATCAAAGAGGCTTTAGCTATGCATGTAAGCGAATATATTGTGCCATTGTAATTTTCTATATCTTCACTGTGCCTCCACCTACTTTGGTGACAAGTTCTATTTTAAAATTGATAGGAAAATATTTAACATAATAAGATGATGAGTCAGAGTTTTCAAAAAGCTAAAAAGGGAAGATGTAGTTAAATAATGCACCTTTAAAAATTTTTTTTAGCCACATCTGACTCATGACATATAATATATGCTGCGAAGTTCAAAGTTTTCTTTTACAAAGAGAGTTTTTATGAAACAACTCTTCAGACCTTTTTTTTTTTTTTTTTTTTTTTCTCCCTTCAATTATAGTAGCAGGTTTTGGAGTTTAAATCATTAACAACCTCTGAGTGAACTTTTATCCAAATGACTGCAAGTCACAAAGAGAACAGTCCTCTTTCACCAAGTGCCTTTTGTGCTACAGTGAGAACCGTCCTTTTCTATTTCTCCCCTTTATGTCTCTCTTTGAAGAAAAATGTGTGATTTGTAACGTAATGAAAGTATGTATCAGTTAATGAAAACTGCTATATTGGGCTCATAATGCACATTGGAATTGCTTCAGGGTAAGCTTCATATACCTGCATTAAAACAGGAAAAAAAGTAAATTTCAGAAGTCAAGATTGCTGTGTGCACCGTAAGAGTACCATGTAGCAGAAAAATCTTATCTCCCCACATCCCCTCTGCCCCGCCCCGCTTTACCAAGGAGCTGTAATTTTCATTTAGACAGCATTTCTTAGTTTTGACTTCATTGGGCAGTCCAAAACCGGACACTTCTTCATGCTACCTAGTTATTGATTTCACCATATGTTATCTTTTTATTTTTAAAATTATTTTTATTGGATTTTTTTTTTTTCCTTTGGACAGTTTGTGGGCGACTGCAATTCCCAGAATCTTAAGGTGATGGGGTGAAAGAGTAATTCTTTTGGTGATAAATGCCTGACGAATTTTATATAGAACAAACTGTAGCTTAATCAACAAAAGAAAGTTAAAAGAAAAATCTATTTACTTTTAAAAACCCAATAAGAATAATAAACTCATCGTTGTTTAAAGAGTGGGGAAAACTTTTTTCCCCCTCGATTTGGCGACTAGCGGGATAAATTCGAAGAACTCCATCCCACCCCCGCACGCGCGCCCCCCATTCTTTCCAGACAGAGCGGTTACAAATCCGAGGCTGAGTCCGCCCTGGGAGCCTTAGGGCACCTTCCTCTTTGCTCTCTGTGTGTATGTGTGTGTGTCTAGCTCTCGCTCTTTCCCTCAGTCTGTGCCTCTGTGTGTGTGTGAGTGTGTGTGTGTGACAGAGAGCGCGAGAAGAGAGAGAGCGAGCGAGCGAGCAAGAGAGAGAGAGAGAGAGAGAGAGAGAGCTAGAGAGCGAGCTGTGAGCTGTGCTGCCGCCGCCGCTGCCCTTTGATCCCGACATTAGTGTTAGGGGCTCGGAGACACAGAGCGCGGCCATAGACACCGCCGCACCGGCACTCATTTATTTATACCTCCCATCACACACGCGAGCATAGGAGACACACACACTCACACCTATTAGATCTGTTTCCATTGAAGAATATTACGCGCGGGGACAAGCCAGGTGCACGACCAAAAATTAAAAAAAAAAAAAAAAAAGGAAAAAAAAAAAAAAAGAAAGAAAAGAAGAAAACCCCTCTTCTGGCTCCAGGAAACAAGCTTCAACCCATTGCATACACCGGAGAGAAGGGGTTTCCCCCTGCCCGCCCGCCCCCCAACTACCTCCCTGCTCCTGCCAGTGTCTGCCTCTCTGCCCCCACGGGGGTTTATTTGATCTCACATTAACCAAGGAGGAGAATGTGAGAAAAGGGGGAAAATGCCCAGGAGGAAGCAGGAGCAGCCCAAGCGCCTTCCCTCACGTAAGTCATCCCTTCTCCACCTCCTCTCGTGCCATTTTCTCGCCCTCCCTCTCCTCTCTCCCCTCCGCAGCCTCCTCCGTTGTTTTTTGCATTAGTTTAGGGTTACAGAGGTGAAACTGACAAAGACACAGCCCGGGTTACTCCTCGTTTAGGTCTATGCTGAGGCAGCCATGTTGGTGATGATCAGCCCCGTGCCCTTTCTATTCTCTCTCTTTTTCTTTCTTTCTCTCACCCCCCCTCTTTTTTCCTTGACATCGGGCTTTTTTCCCTTTTCTTCCTCCCTCCCATTCCTCACTCCGGTTGCTGGGGGTAGGGGGCGCGAGAAGAGAGATGGGGAGTAGTGTGATGCGGGGTTTTCATCGGGGGTGGGGGGAAGAGGTTGGAATCTTTAAAAAAAAAAAAAA